TATTTATGGTCGGCCTGCGGAATTTGGGCTACCGATATCCACGATGAAAATACCATACTTGTACCAAAAATACAGTGTGGAATCAAGCCATAATCAAAAATATAAATATAAAATATATATGAATGGTAATCAGTGCGTTCTCAGCGTATACTCCGGAGAAAGGTGATTCATGTAGCAAGTCATACAACAGTCATTGGAAAGTCCTTGAAGTATTTCTGAGACAAACCCACATAATCTAAATGGGGTTGCAGTGGTCACTTTGGATATGTCTTCTTAAGTCACCGAAACATTATGATAACAGCGAAATAAGTGAACTTTAGCAAATACTGTAGTAACTGTGGTACTACTAGAATTGAATTTCCCATAAACACCTAAGTTTACGTGCAATGCATGCCATTTATACACGCGCAATCGCACGTGACATAAGTTACAATCAAGAAATATCAATAATTCGCGAAAGGTTACCATTCGAAAATTATTATAGAGACGACCAGTGATTCATCGAAGAGTCTCTTTTCGGCGAATCCATTTTCACATATGTACAGTCGCGGATATATATGGTTATTTTGTATGTGTGTGCATTAAATTTGTCAAACGAAAATACAGTTGGTTAGGGTTGTTGTAACTAAGGGAGTGAAAATTAGTAAGATTTCGTGGAGTTACCCGACACGAAAGGCGTTCAGAGAAATTAGATTCTGGAACAAGAGGGTAGTAACAAAGGTGGTGAGTCGCCACAAACGATTTCTGAAGAAGAGTTACGTAATAATATGAACAATTTGATGGAAGAGTTGTGCTCAGGGTGCTCATGGAAACAAAACAAAATACAGAATTACGCAAGAGCCTTGAAGGTATGCAAATTTTTAAGCATTTAGAAAAGCAGTCAAACAAGCGGAAATCAAGTCAAATCAGCGGAGTTGTTGCCATGATAGTAGAGGTGGCTGAATAATTTTCTTTTTTATGCCCAGTTCGGGTTCCTTTAATTGAATGGCTAGGGCTACCGCAATGCGAAGAAGATGGAAACGTTGTCATTGGCAGGTAATTCTCCACCTTGTAGATTGCCCTTAAGGAGGCCTCTGGTGAGATGAAATGATCAATGGTCAATTTTCCTGGCTTAGAGAATACTGGGAGCCTGCATCTTTACAGCATGAATGATCTTCGGGTCAACCTTAAGAGCTTGAGGTGTGGTCACCGACTGAATTCGAATTCCATTAGTACTCTCTAGAACATTCTTGATGGCATTTGGCAGAGATTGAACTAGCCTACTTTCCCACATGTATGCTATGAGGTTATTTTAATTGTTGAACTTCTCTTTCCAGAATTCACCAAAAAATCGTTTCTTTCTTGAAAGTTGGTACCGAGATATCCCAGGTCAAAATCAGCGATAGTGAACACCACTGGAAGCAGTCGCTTAAACTTGGGATCAAAAGTCGGTAGTTTCTGCCCGAACGTAGCGTTACGAGATAGTTGAGTCTTCTCCGGTGGGCCTTTGCTTTTAGTGTGATACTGAGTGCAACTTACGCATCAACTAAGACATTTATGCCGCATGTGAAGGTGTTAATGTTTTCCCTGTTGTTTGCGAGGAATTTCAGGCCAGTCGCTTGGTTGTGTACGTTTCGCTGGCTGGCCAAAGCACTATGGATACAAACAGAATTAGCATGTCGATCCAGCTTGTCTGGTCTTACTCTTTGACTGAGAACGCGCCCTTACGGTGATCTACCTCTCCTACCCTGTGTTCATTGAATTTGTGCTAGTTGTTCCGCTGATGCTGTAACGTTGACAACTAGTTTCGAAACTATTGAGTGTTTGCTCCTACTCATATGGTTAACCTACCCTTCTATGAGTCATCGCTCCCAAATCCAATCACCGAAGCGTCAAGATCTTGCACGTCTCGCACTTTTTGCAGATACTCCGTGAGGGCTTGTATCCAACCTTGCTTCAGTACAGCCTCTCCCATCGTGCTTTCTCCTACAATCAGCTGGAGATGGTGTAGGAAGCATAACGAGGATCTATCTCCCATGCCCTCCCCTCGAAGTAATCGCTGTTTATGCTGGTTTTCTGGCATATAGAGGCGTTTTATCACCTAGCAATTAAGCACCGTGTATGGCTGCCCGTTGGTAGGATGAAATATATAGTGAACGAAAATGCTGAAAAATAATAAATGATAGAGGAAAAAACATATTAATAGGCGCAATAAAAGGCAATGTGTGGAAGAAACGAGTTTTCCAATTTGTAAACCGGTTTTTATATTAAAGTAATCACTCAGATTAGCAACTGACAGTCTTTAATATTACAGAAAACCATTGAGGTTTACGAAAATTCACTTCTGAAGGCCTAAAAGAGGGCAGGTGAAACAGGGAATACCTGTTCAGACAGACAGAAGGGCATTCATCGTTCAGTAATAATAATAATAATAATAAATATTCTCATTTTGTACATGAGAGACGCCAGTTTACAGGCATCATCAATATGATAAATTACATATACGATTAGCAATCATAATTAATAATAATGTTTTAATAAAATACACATTTTTTTCCTACTTGTGTAGGACACACCAAATATACAGGCATGGATAAGCATTATATAAATTTCATAAATTTGGTTTATGGTTAAGTTACATGGTTGCTGGCGTTTTTTTCTTAGGTCTGTGGGAACAATATAATAATAATAATAATAATAATTTATTTTCATATAAACATAAATTTACATGAAAATGCATGCCATTTTTACAGGCACGATCAAGGATGATATAAAAAAAAATCTTAAATTGTCTACAAGTTAATAATGTTTCAACAGTTAAATATTTGATATATATATAAATACACATTGTCTGAACTAGGCTGTATAGTTATTGAATTGTACAATTGTCCTCCAGGTTGAGCGGGAAAATCGACTTCGTTTCGTTTTCATCCCGTGGTTGTAGGCATACGATAATCAACCAATATTGAGGTAAGTACAACGTTTACAAGGAATTGGAAGCTGTTTTAGAAAAATTAAAGTGCTGTGGTGTAACATTAAAGTGTAATAGATTAAGTGAGTGAAATATATCATTAATAAACACATTTATATAGAAAACAGAATGGGGAAGTAATTAATCCTTAGGCCGACAACGTTCATTTGCAATGTATAATGAAACCAATATATTTTATACTATCATGCGTTCACTTTTGGCTTTAATACAATTATTTTCAAGCCAGTTGTCTTTATTTCATGTCTTTTTTTCTATTTGGTGCACAACCGTACCCTAAAGAGAATAGGAATAGAATAAGTCGAATCAAATTCATAAAGAGCTATAAAATGTTAGGTTTAATGGAATATAATGAGAATCAAGTAAAGACGTTATTAGAAAATAAGTGAGACAAGATATTGTGAAGTGGTATTTAAAGATCTGACAATGGATAGCAAGTTAATTCATAAGATGCCCCATAAATCTGTGCAGATCCCACGTGGTCGCATCTCAACAATAGGCTGAGCGAATGGTATATATTTAAAGGTAGAAGCATTATCTGTCAAGGCGTTCACTATTATCTTTTTCAAGATAAAGATCTAAGCCCTCATAAAAATCAGAAATATCTCGAGCCTTTAATTTGTATATTGCTGTTCCTGCAGAATGGGGCGATTCACCTTAGTGACCACCACCATATCTACTGATCAGCTAACGCCACCCTCCCTCCAGTAGATGAAGGAGGCCTTACAAATCATGAAGAAGATACAGTTCCCACATGTTTACTCCTTCCATCCTTCTGAGCTCCTCAGTCACTAACAATATTTGAGTGGTCATAGAATGTCATGTTGCAGAAGCCCTACAATTTCAATGAGAAGTTTATTCACTCTTCAGGCAGTTCACTTCAATTAAGTGAGTTGGATGATGCCAGGAAACCGACTGTCCCATCAAAAAATTGCCAGAAATTACTGACCGAGAGCAGTTATTACCGCTGAAGACCGATTCGTTTATAATATGCCTGCTTTTTGAAAGTAAGGCTTTGAGCGAGTAAAGCGGGAAACACAGTCAGGCCCATCACAGGGCATTCGCCACTTGATAGATAATAAGGGGCTTACAAATCATAAAGACATAGTCTCCCCTTGATTATCCCTCAAATACTCCTGAGTTTCTTAATCACGATGCGAGATCACAGCTTATTCTACTTTAGGGATCCTACAGGCGAATAATACATGTGAAATCCGGCTGTAAAGCTGTACACCGCAAAGACGCAAAGCTTAAGATGCATTGTACATAATGGGTGACACTTGACGCTGCTAAGCAACAAAGGCTTTTATTCAGTGCCATCTATCACCCAGTCAGGCAAAATCACAAACCGCTGACTAGAATAACTAAAGCTTTTCACTACACTTCACAATTAAACTTTGCCTGTGAAATCATTGGAGGCGATTTTAGGATTTCAACAAGTTTGAATCCATGGGGACCGATCATTGCTCCTTCATGTCGCAGCAGATTCTTAGGCAAAGTAGAGCCACGTAGGTGGAAACAAAGTGTTTTAAATACAGTCCGGGGTCATAGTATATTAGACTGAAGCATATTTCCATATCTAATATCCACTTAAGCACTCACCCTCAGGTAGTCACGACATCATATTCTGAAACACTAGGCATAACTCATTAAAAAACTCCACTTTGCACAAAAGTCCTAAGCCTCCGAATATATTGGTATGATGTACCTATCAGCTTCATCCTATGCCTAAAGTGTGGGCCTGCCACTTTCTATAAGGGACCTTCTCAACACCCTGCTAGCCTTTTAACAAGATGTATCACTACGTCTTGATAAACGTGTTCCTAAGTGAAAGAAAATTCTGGTGAGAACCTGATAAAACTATACGTCGTCGGATTTTACTACGCAATGCAAGCGTGATAATCCTTTCCAACAGATGTGAGTGAATGAGATACGATTATTTACAGTAAATACAGCAAAGCAATATTTGAACCAAGAAACTGTTAAACACTGAAATTAAATACTGAATAATTATCATTCTGGCAACTCCTCAGGCCAATTAGAAGATACGTATAGATGAAATAAACGTTTTGATCAGACGTTTCCACGAAAACAGGATTCGAACTAGGCTTACATTCTACTGAAAAGTGCTTAGAACAAAGGCGCGGTTTTCGTAGATTGCGTCACTTCACGGTTTTGCTTACTCATGTTCGACCCATATGCATCTAATGGAGGGTAAGTGGTTGTTTGGTTTTAAAAAGTGAGACGTTCAGGACAGTCATGGGAATTGCTGGGAAAGATTTTGCCTTGATTGCTTCAGACACCCGTCTTAGTGATGGGGGTTTTGTTATCCTCTCTAGGAATTCCCCACGATTGTTCAAAATGTAAGCAACTTTCTTCATATGTGCATGTATTAGGGGTCCCGGTAATATTCTTGGATGCACTGGTTTTCATGGGGATGTACTGACTTTGACTAAGCTGTTAGAGAATAAAGTTAAAGTAAGTTGTCAATACATAAATTATAAATTCAGACCTACCGGTACGATCATGGAAAAGATATTTCTACAAAGGCTCTAGCTGGTCTCTTATCTGTAACTCTGTACAACAGACGTTTCTTCCCATTCTATGTGGGCAATGTATTGGTTGGACTTGAGGAAGGGCGTGGCGTTCTGTACAGTTACGATCCAGTCGGGTCATACGAATCTGAAGGATACAGAGCCTCAGGAAGTTCTGCGGCAATATTGCAACCATTTTTGGACAGCACGGTAATGTCGTTTACCTAAGTTTTTCATTTTTAATAGGTTGGGAATAAAACTTCGAAATATCATGCATCAAATTTAGACAAGGAAACGGCTATTAAACTTGCTCACGATATCTTTATTAGTGCTGCAGAAAGAGATATTCAGTGTGGTGATAGTGTTGTCATTCATACTGTTACAAAGGATGGTGTTAGTGAAGTCTCCTTTCCACTGAGACGTGACTGAAATAAATGGTTGTTTTTGAAAATTCTGTTTATTTACAATATAACCAGTAAATTTTTTACTATAAATTTCATTATTTAGTTTGTTTCACTTTGCTAACATAGAAACGGTTCATGCGACTTTCGGTGTTTGAGATTCCGATAGGGGCTAAAAGGGATTAGATTGCATTGACTTACTAATAAGTGATAGAAAGTTCCAGATTCTCACTTAAAGTGAATCGTCAAGGAGGAATTCTATTGATTTACAGTGAAGTAACTTAATCGCGATCCATTACTACTGCTACTATCGTGTTACTACTTAAAATATGCAGTATTGTTGGAAATATGAATCGCGTAACATAAATGTCTTACATTTCAGTGTGCAATGAGTAGCCATATGCGTACTGTTCCGGACCTTAACATTATAGGATGAAATTGCCGTTGAAAGATCTGCTGCAGGAACTGTAATGAAAATAAATTTGGAATAAACTAACTGGTTTTGTTTTCGGAAGGGAACGTACATATCCTACTTCGCAAACTACAAACGTAGTCTTTCTATGAAACTGCAATTGCTGTTTGAACAGACTAAGATAACTAACAAAGTTTGTCTTAATTCTTTTTCCTTCACGTTCCCAGTGGAACATAGGGCTTAAAGCCAGAGTCTTGAAGTTTATGTAGCAGTGTTTATTTTTACAGGATGGGGTTGCTAGCCTCATGCCCAACCTTTCCTCTTTACCAGCACTTTTTCTGGCTTAGCGAGGTAAAGGAGTGCGTAGGCCGAGGATCGAACCCCAGACCATGTGCATGGTCGGCGAGCGTCCTGACCGCTGTGTCACCAACGCAGTAGGTCTTAATTTTGCTTTAAGAATATTCTTAATAGATGGTTTCATCTGTAAAACAAAGCCTTGGTAATTCACGCTATAAATTCAACAATCTGTAGCGAGAAAAATGAAATACTTTTGTTATCGATTAGACCACTCAAGGTATGAATGTAGCACACTTTTTAGGCTAAACATCACGCCAAAAGCTTGTAAGTCTCCTTTTAACGTTTAAACATTCGAGTTGTGTCTATTTTCGCGAAATCGGTTTACCACAAAATGGAGTGCACATGTAAGTAGATTAACGAGAGGATCGCAGGTTATGAATACCGTTTATTGACCATCTGATAGCTAGCTAACATTATTACATCACTTACTGGTTCTTTAACTCGTCTTTTGTGAATGATACCGACTAATTAGCGAACCATTTTGATACAAGTTACCTGACTAGACTGCAAATAGGACTAAATGTACGCAGACCTTCGGATGATGACCACAACCAGGGAACCACTTGTCGTCTTTAGGTATTTGGATAATGCAGTTTAACCCAACCCACTTTTACAGGAACTTGTAATACTGACTGTATTTGAATATTCGAGCTAAATAATTTTTGATTAAGTGAAGTTATGCACTTCCGTTTAGACAGATACTGTCTTATTAATGAGTGATGCTAACTTTCAGTTAAGGTTGACAATAGTAAACGCATCGCTTAGCTTTATATTCATACACTTGTGATTAACTGTAAAAATAGGAAGGGAAATTGTCGTTAACCATCAGCAGACCATTTATGCATGCGAATAGGACAGCTGGGATGTAGATGGGATTCGGCACGTTCTAAGTGAATGCTTGCATTGTTATCAGGAGTCGGTCGAAAATATTTGCCGTTAACACATACAGCAGATAATTGAAAACACTTTCGTACTGCCCGAAGTTGAAACACTAATTTCGCCTCAGTAGTAAACATAAAAACAGGATACAAAGGCAACCACTACAGTGGGCAATGTTCGCGGTTTCATACATCAGCTTTTTAGCGAGGAATGAATGTATTGCACCAAACTTGGATGTCTTACTATATACACAACCATAAATGGTGATAAACATCAGGACTTATATGTTTTCGAATGTCTTCCTTGTTTTATTTGCCTAGTGTCAGACTGTAAAGTGAGTAAAATCCGAACAAAACTACAACGCGGAACTTATTTTCTCGCTGAGTGCACTAAACTAGCATACATAGCAAATTTCATACAAAACGGTTCCCTTTACTAGTCTGAATAAAAAAAAAGAAAATATTTAAAAGATAACATTAGCTCGTTTTATTTCATGGATTCTCTTCAACTGCATATATCCTAAACAAAATCAATTAAAGTTACAAAATTTCTGGACATACTTTTTTTTCCAATGACGTCGGGTTATAGATAGAAAGTATGAAGCAAAATAATTTCAATAATGATGTAAGTAGACGAATTATTCAGTGTTAAAAGACTAACTCTTTGTAGTACAATTAGAAAAGGGAGATGCAGTTCAGATTTACCCTGGAAATAAGGGGGCATTGTAAAGAACATTTCCTACCGCCAGAGTCATCCCACTTTACATTGGGGCATCCTCGGTAACTCAGTCAAAAGTAGATAGATATCCTGCTCATGTCAACTCCAACTGGATTGATCAAGTCACTTGTACTTGAGGCAGTGAGTACATAGGAAAGACTGAGTGGAGAGTATCTGCTAGGTTTTCTAAGCATACGCGTAAAAATCTCCGTATGAAAGGCAGCAAAGTGTTCTCAGGTGCAATTGCCAGACATTTAGTTGACATGGGACATACAGAGGAAATTATTCAGGCTTTCGAAAAAATCGATACACAGAGAAAAGCATGGTTATCTTGGCTCACAGAAGTCATTGCTGTCAAAAGACGTCGACCCAAGCTGTGTGCAGAAGATTGGCGTGAGTAATCTCCCACTACCTTGATGACTGTAACTGTTTTTTGTGTGTAATACTCCGCGTAAGTTTGCCTTTCACTTACTGAGTTGAACTATTAAGCTAGCAAATTTAATCAAGTGTTTGTGTGTGTTAGTTTAAGCCAGCCACATAGAAGGTGTAGACTTCCTGGCTGGTTGGGATCCTCGGGACGGTAAAAACCAATGAATGCTGGAGACAATCGGTGATATGGCTCAAAACTGTTCTCAATGGATGACTCCGATGCATCCACTCCTTGTGACTTATAATATCCAATAAGAATTTTCCTTCGACATTACTATTCTTTTGCCTCATACCTCTGTTTACTGTCTCTGTTTTGAATTTACTTTTTTCTCTTGCTTTGTGTGCTACATGGAGTGTGGCGACTAGAACTGCTTCCCATCGGTGCAAATTTAACTGGCTTACAGCCACGCTCAACTTATCGAACATCCAACACCTCCCTGAATGGGATATAGATACTGGTCCTCCGTCCCTAACTGAGGTTACTAAAGCTGTCACTAGTCTGGAACGAGGCAAAGCGGAGGGACCCGATGGAATGACTCCAGAGGTGTTTAAGGATGGCGGAGACAGTTTACTGTCTGCGTTAACTAAAGTCGGGTTAGTGTAAGTCATTGATTATCCCGATAGACAAGAAGGGAGATTATCACAGGGGGATTAGCTTGGCTAATACGGTATCTAAAGTTCTAGGCTCAGTAATCATACGTGGACTAAGTGGTGCTCGGGAGTCACAAACACGAGAGAGCCAGGCAGGCTTTAGACCAGGAAGAGGGTGTATTGATCATATCTTAACCCTTCGACAGATTCAAGAACATAGGCATACTAACCGGCGTCCGACAATCATTATATTTCTCGACCCTAAGGTGGCATTCGATTCTGTCGACCGAGAGGTACTATGGCGATGTTTGGACGTGAAGGGAATGCCGAGAAAATGCATTGCACTGATCACGGTACTCTACTAGAACTCATGCAACCAGGTGAGATCTTAAGGCGAGTTGTCATCTGAAGTGGTAACAATTAGTGGTGTCCATCACGTATTCTCACTGTCCCCATTTCTGTTCAATTTCATCACAGATGTAATAATGGAATTAATCCTAACTGCTGACCTCAGCGGTTGACTTGTTACCAGAGAATAATCTGGTCGACTTAGAATATTCAGATGACATAGTCCTTTGAGGTGCTGACAAAATTGAGCAGAACCATCTCAACAACAACTGTCAAATGTAAGATGATGCTACAGGACTGGATTACTGTCTGTCTGTTTTCGACATAGAACTTTGCACAAATGTGCGGAAGTTCAAGTCGCCACATTCCGTGTAGCACGCGAAGCAAGAGAAGAAAGTACAAGAAAAGCATAATAGAAACAGTGAGCAGAGGTGTGAGACAAAGGAGTAATAAAGAAATACAAAACAGTTTCATTGAAGATCATAAGTCACAGGGAGTGGATGCATCTGCGCCACTGAGAACGGTTTTGAGCCATGTCACCAATTGTTTCCAACCATAGATTTTTACCGTCCCGAGGACCCCAGCCTGGAAGTCTACACCTTCCTACGTGGCTTAGACCAACTGTTGTGGATTTCATTGACTGATGCCAAGTTTTTGTTTGACCGCCGCTAGCTTTTTTCCAGCCTGACCCTATATCCGCTAACAGTGCTCGTCGAGGAGGCGATGGCTTGGCATACGTAACACATGTCCTAACCATCTCAGTCTTTGTAGCTTCACGACTTCGTCGATTGATTTCCCCGTTTACCTAGAACTCTCTTGAGGTCCTACATGCCAGGCAGGTTGTTTGGATAGCGGTTAAACAAAAAGCAGCTACCCAATCCAACATCATGTCCAATACAAAAACACAAAATTTCATGCCGGATCGGCCGTGGCCCGGATTAACAACGACCGCGCTTCCTGCTGCCGTGTCACAGGGCAGGAGTGATAAATCTGCTACTGAGACACACCAAACAAAAAAAAAAGAACGAACGGACTGGATTACACTGACTCCTAGCTTAGAAATAGGGAGTAAAGTGGTAGAGTGTGTTGACCACTTCACTTATTTGGGAAGCTGCATCAGCCAGTGCCAATAGGTTGATTTCTGACGAAATCTCAGCACGGATACAGAGGGCCAGTTTCGCATATGCCAGTTTACACCGTCTCTGGCGTAGACGTGATATCGACCAAAGGGCATCTGTACTGCTCAGCAATTAGCTCCGTCCTCCATCGTGGTTGTGAGTGAGACCTGGCCATTGAGATAGGAAGACATGAAAAGCCTGGCTAGCTGTCTTTGTTCATAGGTGTCTGCGTTCTATCTCCCGTATGAAGTGGTATCACAAGGTGAGCAATATTGAGGCTAGGCGTCAAGTTCTAGATAAGGAGGGGAAATCAGTCGACGAGGCTGTGAAATTACATCGACTGAGATGGTTAGGACATTGGTTACGTATGCCTAGCCATCGTCTTCCTCGACCAACAATGTTAGCTGACATAGGGTCAGGCTGGAAAAGAGCCAGTGGTAGTCAAACCAAAACATGGCTTCGTCAGTCAATGAGATCCACAACAGTTAGTTTAGGCCACGTAGGGAGGTGTAGACTTCCCGATTGGTTGGGGTCCTCGGGATGGTAAAAACCAATGGCGGCTGAAGACAATTGGTGATACGGCTCAAAATCGTTCTCAATGGATGGCGCAGATGCATCTACTCCTTGTGACTTATAGTGCCCAATAAAACTATGATTCTTCGATAATACTATTCTTTTCGCCTCGTATCTGTGTTTACTGTCTCTATTTTGCTATTTTTTTTTACTTCTCTTGCTTTTTGTGTTAATTGGAGGAAGTATGGAGACTGCAATTGCTACACATCGGTGCAAAGCTCTATGTTGAAACTATTCAGTCAGAATGAATAGGAAACACCAGAGCTCCTGCTAAATCCTCATCAGCATAATATCCTTAAAGGCACATCAACTTCTAGATTCATACACAAATAGGATCAGACATTTTTACATGATGACACTTATTTTTGTATCCCCGGTCAAAATGAATATATAACATTATTTAAAGTGATCACTAAGCATATATCTAACAGTAAAAATAGGAAATGAAAGTATACACAATGATGACATAATTTTCGTCTATTATAGTTAAATGCTTCAATAAGCTGCAAATCATCACTGAGTAGTAGAACAAACGCACACATACAGAGAGAGAAGTTTTGTGATTTTTCCATTATTTACTCCTCGGTTGTGTCACACACTAGACAGTGTAATTCTTCTTCATTGATGTATTGTTTCACTTTTAAATCTAATAAAAATACAATTGGTACATTTTTCATCTGTAGCGTTAATCTAGACAAGTTAGTTTCGTGTAATTTATACTGAAATTTTATTTCACTCAAAGGTTTTCTAAATGTGACACCTTTCCCTCTTATACCAAAAGCTCCATATGTATTGATTTCAATGTATTTCTCAATTTTGGCGGTGGCGTCATTTTTTGTGACGATTAAAGACATCTGACGAATTAAACGACGCGGGACAATAAATCCGAGAACTAAACAGGATACAGCTAATAAGTACAAACAAAAACAAAATACAACAACATTAGATGAAGTAGGACTAATGTATTTGTTAGGAAATTCATGAATACTCCCCATCCGGGGCATTAATAAAAACCAAACATGTGTAGTTCAGCGAAGAGTCTCTTTTCGCCGGTGAATTTATTTTCTTAGCTGTATGTATGCGTACGTTCAGTTTGTCAAACAAAAATACAATTGATTGGTTGGAGGACTTCAACATGAGCTGACATCAGTTAGAGAACCATTGGAAAACAAGCTGAGAGTACTGGGCAGCTATTTCGTCAGCCTAGTTTGAGACTCTTCATCAGGTCACAGCCACCGGGGTTCAAACCAAGGACCTTCTGGTTACAATACCATTAAGCCACTGGCACCCGATCCAATGGCAAGTTCATGAATTCCAACTTCTGCCAATTCACGACACAGCGCGACCACTTAGCAATGTCTTCTTCGATAAGTTACTGACCCTCAACTTCAACCTGCTGCACCCTTCTGGTCACGACTTCCCACTAGAACCCCAGGTCACCGCCTGAATAGGACCAATTACTAGTGAGCATCAGATGAATTTTCAAGTATTGGTTTTTGTAGGGATTCAGTTTGATTGGTTGGAGGATTTTATCATGAGCTGACATAAGTCAGCGAACCACTGGAAAACCTGAGAGTGCTTGATAGCTGTTTCGTCCTAGTTGGAGACTCTTCACCAGTACGCTTCACCCACCAACCAGTCGCTTGTGAGCGTCTCATAGTGTTAAACAGCTGTCCAGTATACTCCCAGGTTCTCCAATGCTTCTCTAACTGATGTCAGCTCATGATGAAATCGTCCAACCAATCAAACTGATTCTCTAAAAAAAACCAATACTTGAAAAATGAAATTGGCTATGGTTATTTTAACTAAACAGGTGAGAAATAGTATGATTCCATTGTGGGGGGGGGTTAAAATTTATTTTGATAAGATATGATATGATTATGAGCAATAAATTATGCTCGAAACATCATCAGTAAATATTACTTACTGTATAACACTGTGAGACTTTATCAAAATAAATTTTACCCACAATGGAATTATACTCGACCACCACAGTGCACAAGTTCTGTTTTTATATCGAGAATTAATAAGTTTAGGATGGAGTTACATAATACAAAAACGGTCAAGAAAATTGGGTCTTAATGAAACTAGGGTAGTAACAAAGATGATGGGTTGTCACAAACAGTTGTCAAAAAGGATTTACGTAACAATATGAATAGTTGCGTGATTGAGTTGTACTCAGGATGCACATAGAAACGAAGTAGAGAATAATGGAATTACGTGAGAGTTTTAAATGAATACAAGAATTATGAGCAGTTGAAGAAACCGGCAAACAAACAAAATTCACTCTTAAAGGCGTTTATGTATCATTTATGCACTGAGTTAGTTTTCATGTGTTCTAAGAATACACGTTTGAATGGTTTTGCCTACTGATATTACTACATACATTTGTCAATACAAATTTCTATTAAATAATCACAGTCTGTGTGTGTGTGCAGGTCCACGGAAGTTATTTGAAGAGTGGAAAGTAGTTATAGATTTTCTCATACACTAGACTGTAAACCATACTTACACGGTGTGAAGTCAAGGTGGTCCATTAGTCTAAAAGCAGTAGTAGTTTAGCCAATGAAGCACATTCCGATTCTTTATTTTGTAATTTAAAATCTATCTCATAACACACCTGCTGCAACCAGCATATGTACGAAAATCAATCTTGCCTACAAAGGTGATTGGTAGTCGATTTACATCTGTAGTGATTATTTTTAATTGACTTAGAATTTGAACTTTCTCGTCACGTGATTTACTTTTTATTAGTTGGTAAATTTGGTCTATATTAACATGTTTGTTAATCGCTGACTCACTCGAGTACCAGGCTTCTAGGAGTTGTCGGGCACCAAAAGTGCCCGAGAACAGTTTTAAAATCTAATGTCACAGGGTGGAGGGAGAGATTGATAACAGAAACTTTATTTATCGAATCAACTCAGAGAGAATCCGTGTAATAGGAATGATTCAACACCTGTCCCAGATATCTGGAAAGTCCTACTACCCAAACGACGACAAATAGGAGAACAAAAAAAAACTATAAAACTCAAGTTTCGAAGTCGTGTGATTGTAACTGATGAGATGATAATGAACAAAAAATTTTGGGCAAAGTTCAACAATAGCGTCCCAAAGGATGCGAACGCACGAGTGACCTTCAGGCAGCCAATCATAAAAATGAGGAATTTTTGCACGAAAAATGACGTATATTCACAAGAAAATGGATGGAATCATATTGAACAGATTATCTCTCTCTCTGACATGACTTGAAAATACGTCCCAATTATGATGAAGTGTATCAGTTGCTAACTTGGACTAGTTTCTATAGATGTATTAACCGAAGTGATTGAAGATGTGCTGTTCTGTGAATCGTTCATCTCTTTTCTCTTGCTGTGTGGTCCTCTCCAAAGCCCCCGTTAAATTACTATGGTTTCAGTAAGAGGATAGACGGTTACATACAAGGAAAATGAGGATAATAAAACAAGTTGAAATAAACGACAAATCTATTCTTAATCGCAACCCTAGCCTTAATCCTGACCCTAACCCTAAATTTCACACTGGCCTTAACCTTAATCCTAACCCAAATGACAATTTTTATCCTGCCGTAAATCTAACCCTAATCCCAATTATGACCGTATCCCTAACCCCAATACTCGCCTTAATCCTTATCCTAACTCTAACGAGATGTTAACACATTGTCCAAAGAGTAATTAAAAGTGTTATCTGGGTGAAACTTGCTCCTTATTTGATGAATAGGGTTGATATTTCAGCTATGATAATGACAGGGACCGTTAGCCAACGACTAGCATGCGTTCAAAGTCATTTGAACGTTCGCATTCCTGGGACGCTATTCTTGTACTTCGCCAAATTTTGTTCGAGAAGTCATCCAGTAAATGATACTGTTTCACTGTGTGATATATCTAATAAACAAACTAATATGGAACAGTATCTTCAGTCTTACTATATACACAACAGATTTGTAAGACGCTTTCAAAAGATCAATACCGGCACTTTAAAGGTTGGAATTCATCTATCTCACAAAGAATAATGAGGTACAATACAATAACGGTCCCACATCAGGTTTGACAGTTATTATATGTTGTTTTCAAGAGTTTGACTATAGGGATTTAACTGGTTTCAAGTTTGGAAAACCTGGGAGTACTGAACAGCTGTTCCGTTTTAGTCTGGGAGTCTTCATTGCCACGAACCCACCGATCGGGGATTCCAACCAGGGACCTTACAATTACAGGGTTAGCGAGCTTGTAGACAACTCAGCCACTGGGACCTAATGTTATCAATTATGAAAGTACAGAAACACTTTTATTCCTCGAGGATTTCCGTTTGAAACAGAGCTGTTCATGACTAGTGACTGACTCTTAATAATCACAAGTTAAATCCTAATTTTTTTAAGAATTAAAACCACACTCAAGACTACTCCATTCGTGTACAACAAACGAAGAAAATTAAGTTGCCTTTTTTCTCCAATTAGTTGTTCCTATTTTAGTGGGTACTTTTTATTCCTTTACGTTTCCAGTGGTGGAACATAGAGCTTCAATCTTCAGCTTTGAATTTTCGGTAGCAGTGGTGCTTATTTTTACGGGATGGAGTTGCTAGCCTCATGCCCAACCTTTCCTCTTTACCAGTCTTACTACTGGCTTAGCGAGGTTAAGGAGTGCATCAGTGGCCGGAGATCGAACCCCGAACCAAATGAGGCGGCGTGGTTGGCGAGCACTCTACCTCTGTGCCACCAACGCACAAACATTATCAGGGCGAGGCGCATGTATATAGCGCACACAGCCTTCTTCACACCTTGCACACAACCATCGCTCGCTCACTCTTGGCGGACCTAGCAACAAAAAGTCATGAGAACACCATCAGAGCATATGAAAGAAAAAAAATTCATGCATTTAATACGATATTTAACTCACCAGCCAATCCTGTAAACACAGAATTCATTTCATTAATATGCAGTTTTTCTTGTGTATTTTTCACCATAGTTGACCAAGATTTATACCAATCATATTTTGATAAAATACTGAAATTAGGATTATCCCTTAGCTTCTTAGATGAACCTCTTAACTTTTCTTCTAATGGTTCGAATGCATTACGGTTATAGGTTAAATAACCCAATAGAATAGAGTGTGTGACACAGAATATACCAAAACAACGAATATGTTTCAATCGATTTATGCCCTCATAGATGCAGATTTTTTCCAAATCTTTGAAAAATTTATTTGCAGCAGATTTGAACATTCGACTGAAAATAAATTTTTAAAAAGAAAAACAGCAATGTAGGAGAAAAGTGTGAAAATCAGCGAATTCGTTAATTAAATGTCATTCAATATTGTCATGACAAATGTTTTGATGGCAATTGCTACTTTTCTTTCCTTCACGTTCGCCAGTGGAACATAGAGTTCCAAGATAGAGGCTTGAAGTTTCTGTGGCAGTCTTAATTTTTACAGGATGGGGTTGCTAGCCAGCCTCACGCCCAACCTTTCCTCTTTACCAGTCTCATTACTGTCTTAGCCAGTTAAAGGAGTGCGCCGGCCGGGGATCAAACCCCGGACCAAGTGCACAGAGGGCAAGCGTCCTAACCGCTGTGCTACCGACGCTTCAATTGCTACTGGTTAGCTTTATTTGCAAACAGAAAATTATGCAAAATTCGGCCGGGGGCGGCGGCCTGTCTTAAACCTGGGCTACTAAAATACTGCATCATTTTATGGCGAAGTTCAACCGTAGTGTCCTAAGAGTGCGAACGCTCCAATGACCTCGAACGCATGACAGTCGTCCGCTGATGGCACCTATCATTATCATTGCTGAAATATCAACACTATTCATCAACTAAGATGCAAATCTTACCCAGATCACGTTTTTAAATACTGCTTGGACAATGTGTTAATAGCTCCTTAGGGTTAGGATCACGGTTATAATTAGGGTTGGGTTTATGGTTAGGATAAGGGTTATTATTAGGGTTAGGGTAAGGATTAAGGTTAAGGTTACAACTAAGGATAGATTTAGAGTTGATGTCATTTATTTTTATTTGTTTTATTATCCACATTTTCCTGGTAATTGGTCGTCAATCCTCTTACTGGAAACTATAGTAATTCAACCGAGGGCTTTTGGAGAAGACTGCACATGAGAATAAGAAAGAAAAACGCTTCACGAAAACAGCTCATTTTTAGTCACCTCGGTGAATAATACATGCACAGAAACTAGTCTAACTTAGCAACTGATACTCCTCATTATAACAAAGGGACGTATTTTTAAGTCATTTCAGAGAAAGATACCCTGTTTAATGTGTTTTCATGAATTTACTTGTAAATGTACGTCAATTTTTGTGTGAAAATTCCTCATTTTTATGATTGGTCGACTGAACGTCACTCGTGCGTTCGCATCGTTTGGGACAGTGTTGTTGAACTTTGCCCATTATATTATATTACATATAATTTTTCTCGTTCACTTTGTTTTAATGTATCAATAAAAAAACATGACCTCTGGTGGTGAATTCTACTCTCACGAATATTTAAAACATCGAAAACCCGCTGATGATTCTCAAGATTCCATTAAACTTGAGAAAAAGCGAAATCGTGGATGCACAAACAACCACTGACTGAGATATAGAACGAATTACCTGCAGTCTTGTATTATTCAGCTACTATTATGTAATTGGGGTCAGAAATAATGTACTCCTGCATCTTTACTAATTGGCTTTCAACTAAATGTTGTGCCTTTGTCGACGGACGGAGAGGTAAAGAAGAAATATAGGGATGAGGGATTGGTTTCAGGTTTCAGATCAGACAGCTATGTGTCACACGATTTGCTGTTAGTTAGTACTTTACTTGAAGATCCGCTAAACATTCTATACATTATTTAAACACTATTCAGAATAAAGCTATTATTGTTATTATTACCATTGTGGTGAGGGCTGTCTGCTAGCCAAATTGGTAGACAGCAATTTACGTCCCAAATCTTGGTCATGAGAAAAAACAAGAACAAAGACTAACTCAACAACCAATCACAGCAGACTTAGCATGGGCGGATACGATCCACAGTTATATGGTCTGACCTTCAAAGAAACAGCCACAAAGAGATGACAAAATAAATTTCAGCCGGAAAATAACCAATCAGAACACGCTGTTTCTCGGCTAACAATAACCTATAATAATGTACTTAAAAATACAAAAAATATTTGTTGATTTTTTCAATAAACGATCTGTTGCCTGGCCCTTGTCTTCTGTCGTTACACCATTACTGAGTGTAGAGGATTATCTTCATACAACACCTGAAACTTTTATATCCAATAGACTCGATAGTTTATTCTGAGAGACTGGTGCTTAAAAGTAACATCTCTTGCCAGGAATTCATTAATCTAAATCTAAAAGTTAGGCTTTATCTCCAATCGTTTTGCTTTAGCCAAATAGGTTCTTCAGACGAAAATATATACAAGTTTGACTATTTTCAACGTCGACCAATGAAATATAAGAGTTAAATACGCGTTTGACTGACTGACTGAATAACTGACTGCTTTCAACGTAGAACTTCGCACAGATGTGCAGTAGTTCGAGATGCAACATTCCATTTCGCATACAAAGCAAGAGAAGAGATACAGGGGTAGGACATGTGCACTGTGGTACAGTATAGTTCCATGGTGGGTAAAATTTATTTTGATAAAGCCTCACAGTTGGCTCAATTAAACAAAAGTAATATAATTTACAAAATACCTTGCAATGACTGTGGGTTAGGTCAACTACATACGTCAAACTAGTAGATTGGCGGGTAGTCAGATTGTCAGAATATAAGAATTTAGCTAAGGTTAGAATGATTGACCCGCGAGAATAAGTAATTTGGAAAAACAGTTCAGCAATTGCACGGAATGCATTAACATAATCACACAATAGGGTGGGAGAAGTAATATAGGTAGGTGGAAAGAGAGATTGACTACTGAATCCTGGTTCATCGAGTGAACCTACACCCAACACGTGCAACAGGAATGACTCATCACTCATACCGGAAATATAGAAAATACCACTACTACCAATCAAGTCAAGCGATGAAAAAATAATGGAACCATATAAACGAAGTTAGAAAGTTGTGTAAGTAACTTGATATGATTATGAGCAGCAATAAATTGTGCTCGAGACGTTGTCATCATTAAATATTACTGTATAACACTGTGCGACTTTATCAAAATAAATTGTACCCACAAGAGAAGAGAGTTATTTTTATTCCTTTACATTTCCAGTGAAACATAGAACTCCAAGCTAGAGCTTTGAAGTTTCGGTAGCAAAGGTGTTGTATCCTTACGGGATGGGGTTGCTAGCATCATGCCCAACCTTTCCTCTTTACCAGTCTCGTCACTGGCTTAGCGAGGTACAGAAGTGCGAGTCGGTGGCCGGGGGTCGATCCCCAAACCACATACGTGATTGGTGAGCATTCTCCCGCTGTGTCACCGACGCGAAGAGAAGAGAGAGCAAACAGAGACAATAAACAGAAGTGTGAGGGTAAAAGGAAAGTTCATTAGGAATAATAGGGTTCTATTGGGTATGACCAATCATAAAGAGTGAATGCAGTTAGTTGCCCTAGCCAGTGAGAACGATCTTGAGCCATATTACCAATTGTCTTCAACCCTCATTGGTTCTTACCATCCCGGGGAAGCCAACCAGGAAGTCTACACCTTCCTATTTGACTGGCACAAACTAGCTGTTGTGAATTTCATTGACCGATGAAGCCATTTTTTGTTTTGACCACCGCTAGCAGCTCTTTACCAACGTGATCTTATGTCAGCCAACATCGCCTGTCGAGAAAGGCGATGCCTCAGCATGCATAACACGTATCCTAACCATCTCATGATATGCCTTTACCCCAGCAGAAAAATAATTTGAAGCATAGTAAGGTAGGGGTGTGGAGATAACTCCAACTGTGGTGAGAGCTAGCTGCAAGTCAAAAATTGTAGACAGCAATTCACGTCAGTGTTACGCCCTGAATCAGGGTCATGTGAAAAAACAATAACAAAGCCTAACCTTGAGGAACTCGACAACCAATCAAGGAAGACTTAACGTGTGCAAATACTATTCGCAGATATACAGCTTAGCTTCTGAGAAACGGTTACAAGCAGTACAGAATAACCCTCAGCAAGAAAACAATCAATCAGAAGATATTGCTTCTCCACTGACAATAATGTACATAAAAATCTATAAATCAGTAAAAAGTACCTGAGTCACAAGTGAAGAAGTCAAATGCGCTCTTGACTTTTGAATACTTGTAATTGAATACCTATACTCACATCAGACAATCGAACAGTAGCGATAAGCCTTAATCAAATATAGTCAGGTCAGTACATTAGTCTGATTACTGGAGTACTTGATGCATATGCACAAACGGAGATGGTGTTCAGCAGCCGACTTCACCGTATATCCCTTTCTTCAAGTGTCTCACACATGGAATATAGAGAGTGAATGACAATTTATACTGATTCAGTATCACTCTAAATTCTAAGAAATCACTTTTACACACACACATCGACACCATCATGGTAGCTAAAGTTCTAGGCTCAATAATCATGCGTGAACTAAGCGGTGAAGTTAATGCCGAGAAAATACATTGCACTGATCAACGCATTCCTACTCGAACTCATGCAGCCATCCAGGTGAGAGCCTACAGAGGCAGAGTTGTCATCTGAAGTGGTGACAACTACTGGTGTCCGTAAAGGATGCTCACTGTCCCCATTTCTGCTTAATTTCACCACAGATGTACTAATGGAATTAACCCTAGCTCACTTCAGAGACTCAGGGATTGACTTGTTACCGTCAGGACATAATCCTTCTAGGTGTAGATGCTGACAAAATTCAGAGTCTTCTGAACACCTCCTGCTGTCAAATGTAAGATGATGAGGCTACAGGACTGGACTACATTGACTCGTAGCTCAGAAACAGGGAGTGAAGTGGTAGAGCGTATTGACCGCTTCACTTATTTGGGAAGTCCCGTCAGTCAGTCCAGCGGGTTGATCTCTGACGAAATCTTTGCACGGATACAGAAGAATCGTTTCGAATATGCCAGTTTACACCATCTCTGGCGTAGATGTGATATCCAGCTGGCTATCGATCAAAGGGCGTGTGTACTGCTCAACAGTCCGCTCCGTCCTCGTTTATGGCTGTGAAACCTGCCCATTGGAAGTGGAAGACATGTAAAGTCTGGCTAGCTGTCTTTGATCATAGGTGGTATAATTGGGTGAGCAATATTGAGGTTAGGCGTCGAGTGACAGGTAAAGGGGGGAAATCAATAGACGAGGTTGTGAATTTACATCAATTGAGATGGTTAGGACATGTGTTACGCATGCATTGCTAGACATCGCCTTCCTCGACTAACAATGTTAGCTGACATACGGTCGGGTTGGAAAAGAGCTAGCGGCGGTCAAACCAGAACATGGCACCAGTCAATGAAATCCATAACAGTTAGTTTAAGCCACGTAGGGAGATGTAGACTTCCTGGCTGGTTGGGTCCCTGGGACGGTAAACACCAATAGCGGCTGGAGACAATTGGTGATATGGCTCAAAATCGTCCTCAATGGCTGTTGCAGATGCATCCACTCCTTGTGACTTATCATTTCCAATGAAACTATATTGTTCTTCGTTATTACTATTCCTTTGTGTCAAACCTCTGCTTACTGTCTCTATTTTACATTTCTTCTCTTGTTTTTTGTGCTACATGGAGTGTGGTGACTTGAACTGCTGCACACTGGTACAAAGTTCTATGTTGGAAACAGACAGGGATGAAGATAAGACGTCAATCTTTTCCCTCATTCAAGCGATTCGCATCTCCTAAGTATATCTATCGGATGCAGACATGCTGTATGCTTAGATGAACAAAGAAGAATTTAACACAATACTCAAACATTCAGAAAAGAAAAACACTGAGCTAATTGAAATTATAAAAAATATATATTTAAAGTTAGTATATATACAACATATTATTATTCTTTATTAGAATACAAGTCTTCATAGGTGACTAGATCTCGACTGGATTCACTGCTATTACCACCAGGCGTACAGTTTGAAGATCCTTCTGTCAGAGAAAAGGAATCGTTGAAAGAAGCTTTTCGAAATGACCGACCTAAAGTTAAATGAAAAGTAAATGATTGATTATATACGTTTTTTCCTGAAGAAGAGATCAGTTTTACTGTGCCAGAAATATTTTTCAAGATATTAAAAGAATATTTGAACCAGTAAGCGTGGTGTTATTGACCTGATGCTTTAAACCGCTTGGTTATCTTGTGGTGAGAGCGGGTCTGCTAGCCAAAATTACTAGACAGCAATTTACGTCAATGTTTACTTCCCAAGTGTTGGTCATGAGAATAAAAAAACTAACAAGACATATAAGCGAACAGTAATGTTGTTTTCAATGAGATCTTCTTTAAGCTTTACTCTAAATTACATAGATTTATATATATAAATTTTTTGACCAATGACGGTGATTTTGTGGATCAAATAATGATAATAATAAGCGTTAACTGTTCTGAACGTCAGTAATAACGATTATTATAATGATAACAAAATAATGATAAGATTTAATCAGGTGGCAATAAGAATAACGAAGGTTGTACTATGTGTATATGTAGACAGTTCAATAAATAAATTAGGTTGAATCTTAAAAGTTACTTAATACAAAAGGTGAAGTGGATAGATAATCAGAGTTTAAATAAATATCATAAAATATGAAAAAGATGGAAAATAAGAAAAGGAGGGAGGGAGAGACAAAGGCATGCAAAGACTAGGATTGTTCTCTCAAATTAATTCCCATAGTTTCGGCTATGTGTAAAAGGCGGGTTCGAATTCCTTTTGAAAGGCTTGATGGAATGCGATAGATAACTTTGAAGGCACTTTTCCTGTCCACACTTGGTGACCGCTATCAATCAAATGAGACAAAATAGAACTTCTTATAGATTTTATTTGGCCTTTTCCAAATCATGAAGGAAGATGCTCATTAATACGTTTGTTGGGCTGTTTAGTTGTTCGCCCCATATAGCCGGTTTTCTCCGCAGGAGCAACTAAATTTGTAGATACGCATAGAAGTGGCGCAACTAGGTAGTTTGTCTTTCGCTTGAGTAGTCATAATTGGTGGAGAGCTGGAAAGTAACAAACTAAGGGTGATGGCAGTATAAGTCCGTTTTATTCCTCTCGATAATCTCAGATGCAAGACTTTGCTAGCCACGTCCCCATTAAATTGCAGTTTTATGAATAGTTGTCTCTTTTTAAGTGTTGTTAGTTTCTCTTTATTGTAATTGATGTTCATGTGTCTCCTTACAAATCTACTAGGATAACCCATTTGGACCAACGTTTTTTGGGTGTATCCTAGCTCATTTTCTAGGGAGTCATCTGTACAGATACGTCTTGCTCTATTCGTGAGACATCTGACCAAATTGATTTTGTATCGGATTGGTACAAAACTGAGGAAATGTGTATATTGTCCTACAGATGTAGGTTTTCTATAGACATCTCTCTTGAGAGAACCATACTCTCTTCTGCTCAATTGGACGCCAAGGAAATGTAGTCTACCATCATGTTCTTTTTTACAAGTGAAGATGAGCGATGGATGTGCATCATTAAACTTTTTTAACATTTCATTCTTGTCAGCTTTCACATCGAAAATAATAAACGTATCATCAACACAACGAAAATAAGAATCGGTTTTCTTTATTACTTGTCTCAATGGACCATTTTCAATCTTGGAAAGAAAGAAATCTGCTAAAATTGGCCCCAATGGAGAACCCCCCATGGTAATACCGTGGACTTGTCTCTCTTTAATAAAGGTTGTTAAATGTGAAGTGTACATTCATTCATAGTACGTCTTAGAAGCAAGTCTTTCAGACTAATAACTGGAATTTCGATGTCGAAATGTTTTTTAATAGGTATTTATATTTAAAGATTTAAAACAGACAGAGAAATCAAAAGAAAGTAAACCACCTACCTAAATGATACTTTGTAGGTGAAAATGGCTTTGAATGATGAAATGGTCTCCGAGCATATGAAACACGTAGAAGACGATTGCTTACCATTTGATGATCCAACTATAAAGCCCAAAAGAATTATGTAATAAACACACACATACCTTTAATGCACTTTCTGCCATTTGATTTGTAGCCATTGTAACATATGCATGACTGAAAGAAGTATTTTTAGAAAAAATAAATTTAACTAAACTTTAATAAAACAGTCCAATGACATGTAATAGAAATTTACCGGTGTAAGCGATGTCTAAGAACTCTTCGCGTGTGGATGTGCGCGCGTGTAACTAACATATTCCCATTAGTAAACAGTCAATTCTAAATAACAGTTCCAAAAACAAATCGATTTTTTGACTACACTAAACCACTGGTGCGTTGGTGGCACAGTGGTTAGGACGCTCGCCGGCTATGCAAATGGTCTGTGGTTTGATACCCGGCCACGGACGCACTCCTTTAACTCGCTAAGACAGTAGTGAGACTGGTAAAGAGGAAAGGTTGGGCATGAGGCTGGCTAGCAACCCCATCCTGTAAAAATAAACACTGCTAAAGAAACCTCAAGTCTTTAGCTTGAAGTCCTATGTTCCACTGGGAACATGAAGGAAATAAAAAAAAATAAACCCATTTTAACGATTTCCAAGTCCTTATTTACACCAATAGAATACAACCACTAGTTAAATAAAGGGTTCATTCGAAATCTGAAAACAGTTTTTGCAGAAGAATAACTAAAGAATAAGTATAAAACTTGGCCACTGTGGTAGAGTATAACTCCATTATGGATAAGATTTTATTTTGATAAATCATACAGTGATGGTATACAGTAATATTAACTGATGACGTTTCGGGCACAAACTATTGCTCATAATCATATCAAATTCAACGTCAACTCCTAGCTTACTGATAGGGAGTGAAGTGATAGAACATGTTGACCACTTCACCTATTTGGGAAGTTGTATCAGCACCAACAGACTGATTGGCGACGAAATCTCAGCACGGATCCAAAAAGCTCGAGCTGATTTCGCCAACTTACATCATCTCTGGCGTAAGCGTAACATCCGGCTATCAACCAAGGGACGTGTCTACTGCGCAGCAGTTCGCTCCGTCCTTCTCTATAGCTCTGAAACATGGCCAACACGAGTTGAAGACATGAAAAGATTGACTGTTTTTGATCATAGATGTCTACGATCTCTTTCTCACGTTAGGTGGTATAATAAGGTAAGTAATGTTGACGTTAGGCGTAGAGTGTTGGGCAAAGAGGGAAAATCAATCGACGAGGCTATAAAGTTACATAGATTGAAATGGCTAGGTCATGTGCTAAGCATGCCTAACCGTCGCCTCCCCCGACGGGCATTACTAACTGATATAGGTGCAAGTTAGAAAAGAGTAAGTGGTAGCCAAACAAGAACATGGCATCAATCCATGAAATCCTTGACAGTTAAACTGAGTCGGTCAGGTAGGGAGATGCAGACTTCCGGGTTGGGGCCCTCGGGACTCTAGGAATCAATGGCTGGAGACAATAGGCGACATGGCTCAAAATCGTTGTCAATGGCCAGCGCAGATGTATTCAGTCTCTGTAATCTTTCATATTCGTTTACACCATTACCCATTCTGTTTCACTCGTATACTTGTCAAACTCTATTGATTCTCTTCACTCATCTTGTCTACCTTTGTGTGCTATTTGGAACGTGGCAACTCGAACTGTCTGTCTCTGTCTGGATTCAACATAGAACTTGGCACCGAAGTGCAGCAGTTCGAGTTGCCACCTTCCAAATAGCACACAGAGGTAGACAAGAAGATGAGTGAAGAGAATCAATAGAGTTTGACAAATATAAGAGTGAAACAGAATGGGTAATGGTAGAAAGGAATATGAAAGATTACAGAGATTGAATACATCTGCGCCATTGACAACGATTTTGAGCCATGTCACCTATTGTCTCCAGCCATTGATTCCTAGAGTCCCGAGGGCCCCAACCCGGGAGTCTGCATCTCCCTACCTGACTCAGTTTAACTGTCAAGGATTTCATGGATTGATGCCATGTTTTTGTTTGGCCACCACTGGCTCTTTTCCAACCTGAACCTATATCAGCTAACAATGCCCGTCGGGGGAGGCGGTGGTTAGGCATGCGCACCACGTGACCTAGCCATCTTAGTCTATGTAACTTTATAACCTCGTCGATTGATTTTCCCTCTTTGCCCAACACTCTACGCCTAACGTCAACATTACTTATCTTGTGAAACCACCTAACGTGAGACAGAGATCGCAGACATCTATGATCGAAAGCAGTCAACCTTTTCATGTCTTCAACGCGTATTGGCCATGTTTCAGAGCCATAGAGAAGGACGGAGCGAACTGATGAGCAGTACACACGTCCCTTGGTTGATAACCGGATGTCACGCCTACGCCAGAGATGGTGTAAGTCAGCGAAAGCAGCTCGAGCTTTTCGGATCCGTGCTGAGATTTCATCGCCAATCAGTCCGTTGGTGCTAATACAACTTCCCAAGTAGGTGAAGTGGTCAACATGTTCTATCACTTCACTCCCTATCACTAAGTTAGGGGTTGACGTCGTCCAGTCCTGTAGCAGCATCTTACATTTTGCAGGGGCGAATCGCATGCCAAACATACGAAGATTGCTGCTCAAGGTGTTCAGAAGACTCTGCATTTTGTCAGCATCCTCCCCTAACAGGACTATGTCATCTGCATATTCTAAGTCCATTAGATTATTCCCTGGTAACAAGTCGATTCCTAAGTCACTACGTTCAGTTAAGGATACTTCCATTAGCATATCTATGATGAAGTTAAACAGAAATGGGGAAAGTGGACATCCCTGTCGGACACCACTGGTTGTTACCAATTCAGATGACAATTCCCCATAAGCCCTTACACGACTACGTGAGTTTGAATAGAGTGCCTTGATTAGTGCAATGTACTTTCTTGGCACTCCCTTCACAGTCAGACATTGCCATAGTACTTTTCGGTCCACGGAGTCGAAGGCCGCCTTCAAGTCAAGAAATATGACAATTGTTGGACGCCGAAAAGTGTGTCTATGTTCTAGAATCTGTCGAAGAGTGAAGATATGATCTATGCACCCTCTACCTGGTCTAAAGCCTGCTTGATTTTCCCTTGTCTGTTCCTCCCGAGTTCTGCTTAGTCTATGCATGATTACTGAGCCTAGGATTTTAGAGACTATGTTCGTTAGGCTGATCCCCCTATGATTATCACACGAGGACTTGTTTCCCTTCTTGAATATCGGTATAATGAGTGACTTACCCCAGTCTGATGGTACTGTCTCTGATTCCCAGACTTTGCCTAGTACCTCAGTTAATCTACAAACTAGTATGTCACCCCCATATTTAAACACCTCCGGAATAATTCCGTCGGGTCCTGCCAACTCGAACTGCCACACTTTGATGCCAAGTTCTATGTTGAATCCAGACAGACAGACAGAAACACATTAAAGATGGTATATTGCTCTGATGTAACTGAAAAGTACTTCACAGTAACAATGAAGGCCATCAGTTTTCACGTTTTATAGCTATCAAAACAACTTCATCTATACGGACAACGAAACACTCCTTCTATTTACTTATCTACAAGAAAAATACACATAGATATAATAATAAAACACCCCAATCCCGGCCTTAACCCCATCTACAACCCTAACCCTGACGTGCTATGAAACAGTTGTACAAACAGTATCTAAAAACGAGATCAGGATGAAATTTACACATCAATTCGTGCACAGAGTTCATACTGGCTCTGTAATAATAACGGTAGGTTGTGTAATGCAAAGAATGCTATACGTTGAAAGTTATTGGTGAGTTCGCAGTCTGTCGTCGCTATTCTTTTAGATTGACGGACATTTGATAGTATAACCTTGACTGTTTTACCTTCTAAGTCTCGACTTATTGTGGCAACTTAGATAAGTAAGAATGCAGAATTCTACTTTGTCTATATATTGGCTTTAAAGAACCAAATATTATTATGTGTTTTATATTAATATACCCAATCAAATATACATCAACAAGTGTACCATACTGGTTATCATGAAGTATAGGACATTTAATAGGGTTCACGACTCATTGCTAACTTTGTCTCAAAACAATATTCTTGGAGACTTACTAGATTGGATTGTGTCTGCAAATCTGTCTCCTTGACCTATAACCATCTATAGTGCTACTTCTAGAGGGAGTCAGTATTTCAAGCCCTAAGACCTTCATTAATGTGGACACCGTCAAAACAGAATACAGTTTAAACAAATACGTATTTTTGGTAATTTTCCACCGGGTCCTACAATTACATAATAAAATATTAGTCACAAACATTTGGAACTAATGTGATTAATAGAAATAAAGTTCAGGTATATGGATTAGTGCTTATAATAATCGAAGAGATGCTAACAATGGCAGATTCATGCAAGTTTTTATATAATTTAAGTCGTCAGTTGTCGTCAATGTGTATACTTGCAGAGGTAGTCTGTCTGTCTGTCTGTTTTCGACATAGAACTTTGCACAAATGTGCGGAAGTTCAAGTCGCCACATTCCGTGTAGCACGCGAAGCAAGAGAGAGGAAAATGACTACTGTCCCATAACGATTAGATAATAGTATTTGTTTTTATAATAAATTGTGAAACTGTGATATAGTTGCATATTTTAATCTTAGTTTAAAAATAAGAATTACAATTTTATCTGAAAACTATCAAAACATGTTAACTTAAAGTATAATAAATCCTGTTCAAATGAAAACATACTTGGGAGGATCTCCTATCTTTACCCTTACGACAGTACCATACGCCTTGAAGACATCATGAATAAAAGGCTCAGTGATATTATGATATCCCACATATAAGGTAGAATGCATTGGTCTATTTGGAGAACGTAAATGATCGCCTGAAGATGAACCTGAAATATCCGACACCTTTAAATAAAATAAACACAGTAATTACCTGATCAGTTTCTGAAGTTTTATCATCTGGTACAGGGTAAAACTGTTGTTTTCTTCTAGTTATTGAAGGTTCAGAAGTTGGTGTACAATCTGTTTCTGAAATTTCAGTTTTAGATTCAGCTAAGTCAGATGGCTTATTTTCCTCCAACTGCACTGGATTAAGCGTTGGACCAGGAAGGAAATTTCGGTAGAGTGATTGTTTCGCTTTTATTGCATTTACACTAATTCCAGGTACTTCGTCTTCTTCACTTTCCTAAACAAATGTGTTAATTTCTATTGTCAATCTACTCACTTTAGGTTTACGCTTAAATGTATGACGTTCATTTTTGTTTTCAATCGATATTGCTCCTGATTTCAATAATTTCATTGCCTCCTCTTTAGCTTTCTCCCTCGGTTTCAATGCTTTATTTTTTATAAGAAAGACACAAAACATACCTTTCGATTTTTCTTCTTTCCTTTCGCATTTTTTAACTTCATTGTCAATATCATTCAGAGTTCTTCTCTGAAGAGGCGAATTAAGGTATGTACACTATACCATTAGTCTAAGAGACATCATTTCTTTCCGTAGAGCTTTTTCAGGATCAGAAAGCTCAATAGGCAGGTCTATTTTAACTATACGCCGTCAATTTACTCAATTAATCAAAAATGGAAAACATACATGATGCTAGCAGTTCATCTACATCGATATTCCTATAAATTTGATAAGCATACAATATATAGCAACTTACTTTCCAGCTTCCAGGTCCGGATCTTCTATCGTCATAATGCGACTTGCCAGGATGTTTGGATAGTTGATATATACTACACAGAATTTTAACTAAATGAGAAACCGGAATATTAAAGTGTTTTACTGCAGAGAATGACTAAGTTAGGAATTACGCTACAGTTACGTCACCTAGCAACGCTATACCCACACACTAATTTATGAGATAGAAGATAAACCTGAATAAGCGTTTGACATACACATTGACTTTATTGTGAAAAAGATGCCCGGTTATCATATTTCTAATAGTATGATGACAAACGGCGCGTATGAGGTCATATCTGTACGTACGAAAAATCAGATTTTACGTGTGAAAAACTAGCGGAAATATTAGACAGCGAAGTTTTTTTCAACAAAAACACATTAATTGCCTCTCGGTTTGACTACTCATACACTCAACACAAAAAATATTATTCGAATTTTTGTAGCTAGAATATACATCTTCTTTTTTGGGCTACAATAGTATGACAAGTTAATTTCAGTTGAAAATTAAGGACATTATGAATATTGTGAATCAACTATGACCAAAAAACTTCCGATACACACCACGTCCGGACTCCTTATGTTAATAAAGAGATAGACTATAGTCTGTCTCGCATAAGTAACAATTCATACGAATTGTTACTATAATAAAAAACGGTTTTGAAAGTCTTTCGTGGCATATAAATTATAGATGATAACATTTATTATTCAGGATGAAAGCAAAGAACCAATTCGTTAGTTTAACCTAGTATGCTGTTACTCACACGCATTATTAGTACTTTAAAATTATTTCAACGACTGATTTCATATGTTTATTGATGGACAAACTTAGAATACAGGCGTAGGACATACCAACCAAGACACATTAATTTTTCTCACCGAATCCTCGTGAAGATGACCTTGAGGTTATATGTTGCGCCAAAATCCGAATTCGAATATCCTATAACATAGTAGCAATCTTGGAAAAGCCAAATAGTCTTGCAGCGACTGTTCTTCAACAATGTAAGGGAGTCACGTATTCGCTATGCATCTTGATGCAGTATATTACTTCCTAGACTCTATTGGCGTAGTAAACCTGCTTACTGCTCACTGATGACTCGTTAAACACATTGGTCCAGATTAAATTCTCTTCATATTTGGCTATTAACACTGAATTAACGTGTTCCTTATTAATTACAGCTTTCTTACCTTATATAGTGCAGATGCTGTAAAAGTGTTGGTAGGCCGGTATCGTTAGTAACGGCTGAAATTTAACAGGGTGCACGGGATCATTACTAAAACATGCTGACGTCACTATGCCACCAAACTGTTTTATATTACGAGGAGTAGCAAAAAAATAAGAGCACATTTACGAATAATAATTAAGAATAGAGAAGACAACACATTATTTTAATATTATTTTATTAAATTTTACCTCCAAACCTGCAGCCACTTAATCTGGACATTAGTTTTAATTTCTTTGTTTAATGATAGGAGTGCTACAAAACCATAAAAACTGTATAATTAAAACTTAAGATATTTTGTGTTTCTATGAACCTCAACTAACAGCTTTCTTTATGCATTGTCTGGTCTTCTCTGGATTTTTCTACCTATACTTCAAGTTTTGATCCACCTTTAATTTTTAACCTTGCATAAAAAATTTTATTCATATCCTTATTATTATCTAACCACCATATCATTCAACTTATGCTAGCCTTTAGATTTTATTCTGCTTAAGGCATACTGTGAAGGTGAACACCCGTGAATTTACACCCTTCACCTTACCAAAGAACATGTGAGATCCATTTGCTGAAGAAGCTTTCATGTTGTTTTATAGTTTGAACGCCTAAATGCACATTTCGCCATAGTCGTTCTATGGTGGCCATCCTCACGGTAAGTGCTAGTACCTACTTTCTTGAGGTTACCAGTGTTCCCCATAATCTTTATCTGCTTATGCGTAAACTTGAATTTAATCCACTAGTGTGGATGTTAGATATTCCAGGTTTATTACTAAGGTCGAATCTAAAGTAGGATTAAGCTACACTAAAACTGTCGAAAAAAGCCTTCTGGAAGCTCACTTAGCTACACTGCCTCGGCAATTTCAACCACTCTTCTCTGCTGGCCTCTACTGGAAATAACTTTGATGATTGTTGTGTGGCCATCTAACTTATCTGACCAGGGCTTTGATTAAAAAGTGGCTGATTTTTTGGGCAGACCAAACCCAACACAGTGGCCGTAGTGCTCTTAGCACTGCCAAAATCCACTGAACTATCCGTAAATCTTCCAGTCTATTATTGGAGAACGCTGGATGATAACTTTTACGGGAAGTAGTGACTCATGAACTTAATTCAAGCGTTTGATGCCCTCTTGTCTTTACACTGTATGTTACTGACATTTCTGCTTATAGGTTTTATGAAGTCAGATAAGTTTATATATATCCACACTAATGTACTCCAGTCCTCCTTATCGTCCTTTACACCTGATCCAAAATCTTCTTTAGAAGCATGCTATTCGAAGTTATCTAAAGATAATTTGTGCTACTACATAAACGTTTAAGGTCAAAATTCACCAGAAGAGTCTATTTCACAGCCAAGTATTCTGTCTGTAGTAGCACATTTTAGATCGAAATGCTTCGAGTGTAGGTGGAATGCCAAGTTTCAAAATATCTCCGTTTTGTTTCATTGTGCGCAGCGGATAAACCAGAGGAACACGGCATTTTTATAGCAGATAGGTGAAACTATTCACAGAGCTCCTTTTTAAAGAATGATTTGCCTCTAATTTGTTATAATATCTTTATCGAGAGTAGTTCTGTTTGTTCATTAAGTTATGCTTAAATATTCTGTCTAAGATAGTTATTACCACTGGATGGAATGAATGAAATAGCAGTTTGATTTGTCCAGTTAGGTTGTTCTAGTAGATTTGTCTGGGGATATTATGATCCAATTTCTATTTTTCTTCATCTCCGACTGAATTTTGTATTACATGGAGTTCTTCCTTTACGCCGACATGGTAGCAATTTAAAAGCACTGTGCAGAAGTGAGTAAATGTTTCAGCCTAACATTTCTTTGAACTCACTTAGTTTTGAAGTTGTCACTAAACGTATATCGAAGTCCTTGGATCTGGATATGAATTTGAGACAGTGAAATATATGATTACTTAAATATGTTCTCATGGTATTCAAGGAAACTGTTTTCACGGTTACAGATAACAAATGAGCATTCACTTTGATGGAAATCGCTCATGAATGTGCTTCAATATGCATGGGATACGCTTATGTATACATTAGACTTGTTAACACTTTGATGTTGAACTGTAGCAAATGTTTACTGCGGCTAAAATGTACTGTTCTGACTATTTTTCGATTTAATAAAAAATATTATTAAACTCAGTAATTTGAATCTTATGTCTGACGATTTTTGTTGTAGTTTGAGCTATCACATTTCATTGAATGCGCAAAACTCTCTTGCTGTAAGCCACAGACACGCATGACACATATACGCAGGATTTATTTATAGTTACGATCAACAATAATATGCACACATTCAACACTGACTGGTCGTTGAAAAGTAGTCAGTGTCATGCGTCTCTTCCTAAGTAGTCCTGGTTGAATTCTATTTTCTAACATGCACAACTTATATAGTATTCATTCCGAGTAGATCAAAGGCAAGGCGAAACATCAGAATTAACCATCGAAATTACGAGATATATTTCGTGACCAAGTCGGACTGCGGGATGATTGCTTAGCTAGTTACAGATTGTTCATGAACAAACGAACGCAACACGACAGCGTACCAGATGGCTTGGATGCTTGACCGAAAACCTTCAGCTAAACAAGTTGGCTTAAACAGTTAGGGTCAGCATCCAACGTTCAGCGATGAATGTTGTTGTCAAGGAACTTAACCCTAGGTTCCTATTGTTACGAGGATGCGCCGCACCGATAAATACTATGTACTTTCTTCTACTTTAGCTCCAAAACACCAGTATTGTAAGAAAGACGTTATATTGCTCGGCAGTTAAAGTGAAGAACAGTACAAGTCCACAAACAAATGTTTTAAACAAATATATTATGTACTTTTATTCGTTTCTGATCGTCTTCGTCGAACTTGTACACGATCAAACCATACGCGCCTTCGAGTTGCCCACCAATGACTGCCAGTTTCAAAAGGACTGAAATTGTCCGTAACTTGCAAGGTCATTGGTGGAGTGAGACGCCCAAAGGTCATTCTCGTCCACGTTAGTCGGCCATGCTGGATTGCAGTTCCGTAGCTGTTCGCCTACGCGTTTGTTGTTCCGTTTATCCTGCAGTTATTCACGACTTACCTTGATGCGTATTGTTCACAAGTGTTGCGTTTCACCTCATTTTTTTGTTTCTGTTGCTGTTAAAATGAATTATTTCTTTGGTTTTGAAAGTTTTCACTACCAGGTCGGTGCATTCATTTCGCTGTAATTCTTTCATACCTTGCATTCGTGCGGCTCTCAGTGTTCTAGTTGTTTTTTAGCTATTAGTGAATAAGTACTGTGTAGAAGTTTAGGAAATTATGCACATGAAGGTGTTTGGCTGACAGAAGCAGTTGTTTCCAGTACATTTGTTGGTTGCAGGTTTCGGTGCTGGCTCATTTGGTTATTTAACATGTAGAAGTCTGGAAAACTAATGTCTTTCACGTTCATGTCCACAGCATGCAACAATCTACCAGTAAATCTGGTGGGGAGAGCACGGTGAAAGTTGATATTAGCAAGGTTTTCAAAGAACATGATCCTGGAGAATTAAGAACCTGGGTTGAATTTGAAGAAGCTTTGAAGCTTTTTGAGGATGTGAATATACCATCAGTGTGTCTGCTATCATTTAGAAAGAGAGAGTGAATCATCAATCAATAGACACATCGAGATAGACAAAAGTTATCAACCGATAAGAAAAAAATCTCACACACAAAGGGTCAAAGTTCAAGTCAAAGAAACAACCGGTTCCAATACAAGTAACCTAGAAGGTGTGAAAACACACACAAACAACCAATCACGTCCAAGGTCACCAGGAGAGATGATTAATAAACTCGTGGAGAAATCTAAAAGCTCACTTCAAATTGAAGTATGCGCTGAAGATGTCACCCAGTAAGGTGATGAAAGCTTCGCAAACTAACCATCCAGCTCAGAGAACAAAACCACATCAAAATCATCCACCTGAGCTACAAATCTTCTCTATCATATCTAAATCTTACGAGCGGGATACGCTTCTCTCTGTTCGAAAGTGGGAAGACTTCGCCAAAAGGCAAGGATCCACCAGAGAACAATTATTCTTTCTCCATGAGTGCCTTCGTCATTCAATCCTACCAAACAGTGTAAGATACAAACCACCAGTCAACTGCCCAATGGGATGGAAATTGGCCGAACAATGTGGAAGACGAATGGTCAAATTAATGATTACAGACGCACATTATCGGATCAACAAATATCAACAAATTATAGATATCCAAAAAGCAAAATTAGAGAAAACCCTCAACCAAGAACACCTGTCAACGCTGATCACCGCAATTACACTGTCAAGTGAAAAACACAGAGAACAAAGACGAAGAGTCCTCAAAACCAAGCTAGCCAAGATTAGAAAACAACAACCAGACAATACGCCCATAGACTGCGTAGTCAACCTATCAAAACAACCACTATCAAAAATGGAACAACAACTACTACAAAAAGGATTAAACTACAACACCGGAGATGCTTCAAAAACTGATTTCTTCGCTGCCTTTGAATCATTACTCAAATCATCAAACTTGAACGAGGAAACACAGGAAGAGATACGCCAAACAATTGTACCAATGGTCAAACAGAAAAGACAACACACACAACTCAACGCTCAAGAACTAAAGGCCCTCAAAAAGCTGAAAAATAGGAAGGACATCGTCATTTTACCAGCCGACAAAGGAAGAACAACAGTAGTCATGGACAGAGAAGAATATACCAAGA